CTTTACTGACATCATTTATATGGAACTGCGAGGATTTGAATTGCTCGTAGTATGAACTGTAATGAGACCATTGCAGTATGATCTATAATAGATAACTTTACTGACATCATTTATATGGAACTGCGAGGATTTGAATTGCTCGTAGTATGAACTGTAATGAGACCATTGCAGTATGATCTATAATAGATAACTTTACTGACATCATTTATATGGAACTGCGAGGATTTGAATTGCTCGTAGTATGAACTGTAATGAGACCATTGCAGTATGATCTATAATAGATAACTTTACTGACATCATTTATATGGAACTGCGAGGATTTGAATTGCTCGTAGTATGAACTGTAATGAGACCATTGCAGTATGATCTATAATAGATAACTTTACTGACATCATTTATATGGAACTGCGAGGATTTGAATTGCTCGTAGTATGAACTGTAATGAGACCATTGCAGTATGATATATAATAGATAACTTTACTGACATCATTTATATGGACCTACGACGTGAATACAAAGCAAGGGAATTTCAGTGAAAGTCATTAAGAATGACACTTTGAGAACGGTAAAGTACCAACAATTAACAACGAGACAACAAATTTCTAGCGGAAATTTCATGTTTCGAATCGGTGAGAAGTGATTTTGGTCTACCAGATCATTTATGACTGGACGATAGGAATGAGGAAAGACAAAGCGATGCAAAATAGAATAAAAAGAACATCCGAAATATAATTAGAAAATTCACAACAAATTTGTTGCATATTCACAATCAGTATGAATTTGTCAGGTGTTCAATTTGAAAATTTCAAAAAAAAAATCATTTGGATATTCATTGTCGTGAATTATCTTATTCACGATCATCTCATGATTGATTCTCTAGTCTAATATCTACGCACTTCACCTCATTAATGATTGTGTTGAAAATTTAGACTTTTTGTAATGTATATCGCATAATCTATCCTGCATCTTTCATATGTCATATCTGCTAAATTGCTTGTTACATTCGTTGTTGTCGAAAATTGTGTTCAAACGGTACGTTAGCCAATCGTCACTTCATCACATCATATCACACTCAAGAACACATATCACGATATTCAGTATGAATTATGAGAATTACTGCATGCATTTTTGACGTTTGTTGATGCTACGCTATATTCTTTTTTAACGTTAGAGCTGTTGTGTCTTCAATTTCCTGTCATTGTTAGACGAACATCTTTTCCGTTTTCTGTGCACAGGTGAACTCACCAAGGAGGTCTAATTATTAATATATTTCATCGATTAATTATCATTAATATCGGTTAATGTCTCTGCATTTATTTATCTCATACTGATAAACTTGGAATTGTTTTACTCAGGAAACAAATTAATGCAATAATTTGTAAACAATCTCTTGAGAATAGTCCAATGAAAATGGGGGCGGCCCATCATCAGCATCCCACATTTGTGAGAGTGATTCTCCGAACACGAGTGAGAATGTACGTTCAAATGAAATTTCTGACTTCAACTTCACTAACTGGTGCCCAATCTCCCTTCAACTCTTCATAAAATTCTTCTTTCTTTTTCAAACAATAATTGTTTGAAAATGAAAGAATAATGGTATGAAGAGTTGAACTCTTCATAACTTTTATTTTCAAACGAGACTGGGTACCAGTTTATTTTGACAGAACAATAATAATTAGCCGATTCAAATGATGCCAACATTGCGAACTGCAAAACTTTTGCGGCTAATTTTGTCCGCGACCAAATTGAGTGTCTCTCTCTGGCCAAATGGTGAATTCACGGTTCGCGAGAACCACTTTTTTGCATCACTTTTCGATTTCCAAGTGTACGAATTGGTAGCGTTCGCATCTTGAAATATATTTTTTACTAGTTCATATTCAGTGTCTTCTTTAAGATCGAATAGAATTTGATCTGATTGATCGTCATCTGAGGAAATAGTCATTAACCTACCCCCACCCCTTCCAACCATTGGTATTACTGAATGACCTAATGTTGCAGGACTTGGGATTCTCGGGGATCCCGTTCCCAACTTTTTTTCGACCCAACCGAATCTTCGAGGTCCCCGACAGCGAATTTTCTTTGCCGAAGTTTGTTGCGTCCCCGCAACACACTGGAGTATTCATTCAATCACTTGACGACAAATTATTGAACAAATCCAAGGAACTAAGTATACAACTCCAAATTAA